ATGCATTTTGAAGACATTTAAACTAGAATGTTTAAATTTAAGCTTTAAAAACCCGGTAGAGTCCATATTATTTAACGATCAGAATTGACCGTGTGCAAAAAGTCATGGGAAACCATTCACAGCCATTTGCATAATGCTATGCCGTAATACTACCTCAAGTTTCATTCATAAGAGTTTGCCGTGTGCAAAAACTATTAACACCATTGGTCAGGGAAATCTTTAGTTAATTAGTCATGTGCCAAAGTTGTAAGTTCAAAATAAGTAGATCCCATACAATATTTTAGGGGGTGCATTGCCTTATATAGACTAAATAGCATATATCGGTATAATGGACGCTGTAGATTTGGTAAACAGAAAAGCCACATATTATTTAAATTTATCGTTATACATAGTGCATTGTTAGATAAACTATAATTTATATATAATTGTATAACATTATTAAAATTATTTGTTAATACAGAATGAGTTCTGAAAAATAAAAGGCGCATAAAATTATCATTAAACCGAGAGTTATATAGCTCGTGATGCGAACAGCGGAATTGGGTCACAGAATGTGGAGGTGCAGTCCATGTTAAAAAATGACAAACCAAGTCGTACTTTAAAAATTCATAACTTTAAAACTACAATAGCTAAAAATATGATTTTGGTTTTATAATTCTGTTAAAAATTAGCTCTATTCAACTATGCCATTGGTTTATTTTTACACAAAGTGTGAATTTTCTTATCAAAGTAGGTACTTCGGTAAGTCAAGGGAGACTACTACTTTTTGTGTATGGGATTTCGCAATCGGCGCCAAAAAATCCGAGTTTTTAATTTTCCGATGTGTGTGTCTATTTATTATTAAATTAGTACTTTCGATATGTATTTGAGTTCCGTTTTCGGCCTTATAATTAGGTAGACATCTTGGCCTACATTTTAATCAATTTCTTTTTCATTTACAATCAGTCAGCTTTGAGAAAATCCTTGGTAAATATAAGGCAACTTTCATCATTAAAATTAAGTCGAAGGAAAAAATTTGTCACTACCAAATTTTTTTTGCATCTGGGGAATCTATTGATCTACATGTATGCCAATTTTCACAGCGATAAGTGTCTTACGAGTGACGCTATGTTTCTGCGCGTTCGCAGCAGGTCATGCAGCTCGCTCAACCTAATTTCGTCATGGGGTGGGCCACGCCCCCTTTGTAATGGCGGAAGTTGCCGATACTTAGGAAATATTAATTTATTACCACTATCTACATCAAAATAATTGATAACTTGTGTTTCAGAATGCATTTTGAAGACATTTAAACTGGAATGTTTTAATTTGAGCTTTAACAACCCGGTAGAATCCATATTATAAATGATCAAAATTTACCGTGTGCAACACGTTGTCATTGGCAACCATTCACAGCCACTTGCATAACGGCTGTATCGTAGTACTACCTCAGAGTTTCATTCATAAGAGTTTGCCGTGTGCAAAAACTACTATACCATTGGTCAGGGAAAGCTTTAATTAATTATTCATGTGCCAAAGTTGAAAGTTTAAACTAAGTCGACCCTAAACAGTATTTTAGTGATAAGGCGATCCGTTGCCTTATATAAAGTATATAGTCATTGCGCATGACGCGATCAGCGGAATGAGGTCACAAGATGTGGAGGTTTCGTCCATAGTAAAAAATACCAAACGAACTCACACTTTAAAAATTCATAGCTCAAAAAGTACTTAAGCTAAAAAGTTGATTCTGGTTTCATTTTTTTATTTGAAATTAGCTCTAACTAACTGTGCTATTAAAAAAGTTATTTGAATTTTTAAAAATTTTGTATCCAAGTGCCTAATCAAAGTACCTAAATACAAATAGAATGAAAATTGGCTGGATAGTCCTAACAAAGAAAATATCAATTAAGTGATAATGCAATAATGGACATAAAAATCAATGCACATATATTCTCAACATTAAAAAAAGAAACAATATGTATAAATATACCTCTTTTTGCTTTGGATCTTGAGGGTAAACATCAGGTGGGCCCAAACGCGACTTCTTTATTGGTATATGCTCCTGACTTGGATAGGCAGTCGCCATTTTCGGTAAAGGGACTGCACGATTTTCTCCTCAATGCTGCTATTAATATATTGTGATTGAAAATAAGGTTACTATCATTATTTTATTTATAGAAATGATGTGTTTTTTTAATTAAAAATTATAATCCTAACTAAAAAAAATTAACAAATGAAAATAATTTCTTTAAATCTAAAAATGATTTTTAATAGTTTGTTTGAAAAAGTCCTTCCCGGCAAGCTCGAGATAACAATATTCCTGAATACCTCCCCCTTAATATAATTTTAGTTCAAGTAGACATGCAAGACAAAAATGGCCATTCTTTATTATTATAATGAGTTACGAAATCATTAAATCTGCACTTATTTGAGATTTAAAAATTCATAAATATGGCTAAATTTTTAATGTTTTTTTATTGATATGAAAGAAATAAAAACACATAATTAAAGAGTATGACTTTTTTTTGGTGGGGTGGTGGGGTGGGGTGGGGGGTCGCAAAGAAAGTCTTCCAATCTTCTGATCATGTAACACCTTAAGTCTCAGCCACTCTAAAGCACGTCTAATCCTCTCACATCCCATTTTTTCCATTTCTCCAAGTGTACAGCACGGAAAATTATAGTCCACGCATTTAATGCCATTTTTACAGTCTAATTTTATGCGCAGGACATCACCATTGCAAGTGCTGGCCTTTCAGAAATGGGTAAACGTAGGCATCAAGGTGGTTAAAGTCTGCCCTGCATGTCCCTCAAGTTACGTATGAAAGGGGCGCAAAGTGGGCACCCACCATGGCCTCCGAGCACCCTCTTCAGAAGACGCCAAAATCGTATTTTTTCATTCAAAATTTTTGCATTAATATATATTGGGGGTGGGGGGGGGGGGGACTAATTTCAGACATTCCCGCCGGGGCGTCTTTTTTTGCCACAGCCCTTAAACCCATAGCAACTAGGACAATTAAATTATATAAGCCCACGGCTGGAATTCCATACAATATGTAAAAAAACACACACAAAAACAAGGTCATTATTTTTTATACCATCTATTTATAAGCCTAATGTGGGCTAAGCAAGACAATTTTCTTGTTTAAAAATTGAGCTAATAGTTTTATTTGATATTATTTTTAGTAGGCCTACTATCATTTTATTTTTAAATTAAANATATATATATATATATATATATATATATATATATATATTTAACACTGGGGGAATAGAAGATTTTAAAGATCAAACTCATTTCATAGTTATAATACAACTATATTATTGTAGCCTTCCCATATTACCAACCCAGCCACTGATAAGCTAGCAGATTATGTGCAAGTAATGCATTATTCCTCAATTAACTTTCTACCCCAATCATCTGGCATATATCTTGAGGTAGGCGTTAAGTTAAACATGTTTATTTATGTATTGAAAGCACAATAAGGAACACAACGGAGATAGTGTTCAATACTACTGACAGGTGAAGTGGAAGTGGCCGGGGGGTGGGGGGTGGGGGCGAGCACCACGGGCGCAAAAATAGTAAATAATCCACGTAGTATTGTGTAGCTGTGCCGAATGTTTGGTGGTTTGGTAACTAGTTTTACTTGTATTTAGAATATAGGAACAGAGATCTTGAGAACCATAGCATAGTTAGTTATTTTGTTCCTGATAGCATGTTAACAGAACAAAAAATGTCAATGAAAAAGGACAAGATATATATGATATATATATATATATATATATATATATATATATATATATATATATAGATATATATATATATATATATATATATATATATATATATATATATATAGTACAAATTATATAAGTGACAAACACTATCATTAAAATATATTTAACTAGAAATAAACACAGTTGATAATTCTCGATAAAAAAATGATTTACATGTTATCTTAAGTATGACAATCGTTTAATAAACATGGGACATAACTCTGCATTAAATAGGTTATTCAAAGTATCACAATTTTTCAATTAACAATAAACATATTTTCATAAAGAGCAATAATCGTGTTGGATAATAAAGCTGAACAGCGACGATAATTAATTACAATAGAAGACCCCTGTCTCCTCCCATGAGCACCCAAAGGGCAAATGAAATAATTCTTTGATAATGTTCAATCACTACAGAAGTTATGTTGTGGGGTTACCTTACTTGAGAAGCATACTTAACTGTTTTGCCCTCTGAATTTATGTGAGATGCGACGTTGTCCAGAACAATCTCAATATATTTCTGTTCGCAATTATTCCGTACCTATCTTAAGTATGGAGAACCTGAAGCACTTGATGATAATGATTGAGCTAACCTACAATTCTAGATACGTGGCTCCATCAATGAAAATGTCGCAGACTTAGGGATATGTAAGACTTAACTTGTCAGTAAATGTACTATAATGATATAGCTGTTAGGGTTATACAAGCGCACGCACGCGGGCTCCATAAGACACTAACACAGGGCCGTACGTTTAACTCGAGTACTATTATATTAAAAAATATGACATTCGCATATATTGTTTATTGATGAAACTAGGTGGGGGTATCCTGCTTGAAATATAGCAATATTCATAAACAGAATGCTGCTCTTTATCTTATCCTGATACACGCATGCATAGTAATGATAACACAATTTGGCTTTAATTTTCAATGATTGTAATAGTGTATGCCAGTGTTTCATTACCTGGTAAATCAAGTATTTTTATGGGCAGCTACGATCCGGCGAGCAGTGACCTCGCCGGTATTTTTTTTTTTATACGACAGGTGTTAGGCCAACTACTTCTTCAGTCTCAAAATGATCGTTGGCTGTGCCCCCACATTGAAGTCCATAAATGGGCCAGTGGTTGTGTCTGAGATAACACACAAAAATTATGTAATTTAAAAAAACTAAAAAAACAATTCTAAAATATTCACATTTTTTCAATATTTTTTGTATTTCCGTTCGGGAAAAATGCTTTAAAATAACATTTTTTCTACGTTAGCTGAGGCGCGCCGACGACCAAAATTCGGGAGACCACTGCAGTGCGTTACGCCGTGTCAACTATCATCGACAGAGGATCGTGTTCTGAAATAAGGAATGCAAGTTGTGGCTAGGATTTTACCGTGTGTGTTGTTTTTTTTTCCTTCTGGTGATGTGCTGTTTTTTCAAATGATCTAACGTTAAACTTAAGCAAGTGTGTAGGAGTACGTTTAAAGATGATATTGGTGTGACTAATGAGTGAAAGTTCGCGTTGTTTCTTTCTCTTCGTAAACAGAAACAGACCTTTTTTTTTTTTTTGGCGCCTACAAGCATGTTTGTTTGTGTTCCTTCTTCAATGTTAATCGTCGCATAAGTAGTCCTGGCGTTCGCAATGGCGACACATGCAGGATACTCTCCCGTGAGATCCGAGGACTTGGCCACCAGGGAAGCTGCGATCACTGCCACCGTATCACCCGTTTCTGGCAGCAACGATTCTACAAAATCTAAGAAGTGCTGTTGCATCGGCTTTGGGCCGTTGACGGTGCTCATCCTGGTGTTGGTCATCGTTTTCTTACTCGGAGTGTGTTTAGGATTCTACGTGCGAGAGTCCCAGGTGGGGCGGCCAGACTTGAATGAAGTCTGCAAGAACTACAAGCGAGACGATGACTGGGATAATTACCAATTTGGAACTTTTCACGAGACTTTGGTTTATTCGATCAGAGGCGAGAACATGACGGAGTTTGTGGAGTAAGTACTACTCACTAGATTACAATAGACCCAGGGACGCCTTTTCTATCTCCCCCCCTTCCCCCACTGAATGCTGGACTTCGACTTTAAACACCTATACTCCGAGGGTCAGTCATACCAGTCATGGTTCAATATGAATATTACTAGTATAAAAAAAAATATTGTTAACACATTTTTGACTATTGAATAATAATATTGGTAACAAACTATTTCAAATTTTTTCATCAAAAATAATTATTATATCCTAATCATGTCATTACTCAAAGATTTAATTTTAGTAAGCTTGTAATTTTTATTTCTGTTTTAATTCTTAAAATTCGTTGATAGATCGAGGGGTGGGGAGACTTGATGATTAAAACATGTGTGACACCATACAAGAGGTTTTGTGTTCAATTCCACGCTAAATAATAACGATTTTTTTCTTTAAAAAAATAAAACAAAAATTTTACCCCTGCCCCCACCCCTCCCAATTAGAATAATAATATTGAGTATTATATTTTTTCTGTCCCATATTAGTTTTGTTACCTGGAAAATTTCAAGTGCCAAATTATTTAAGGGTATAATTTAGCTGTTCATATGTGTTAATCATATTATGCCTGTATAGCCTGTGGACTTAAATTCTAATGTAGGCCCCAGCTTTTAATGTATTAAAAAGACTTGATTTTCCTGGGTTCAACCATGTTAAAAATAAACACTGGCAACGGTGTGCCTTTTATATTCCGATAAATATAATGCCCAGATTATAAATTACCCCAAGTGTGCTCCCAAGTGTGCTCCCAAGTGTGCTCTCTTGTGTATGAATGACCTTCTGTCAAATCTTTATCGATCAAATCTATGGCTAGACTACCCAAAGTTCAAACTAATTATAAAAGTACAATAATCTCTCCCGTATGCTAATATTTAATTTACGTTCTTAATGTCATATCGCATTCGATTAATTCCGAATACAAAATAAAAATTGAAAACATATCAGGACTTTCGGCATTTATTTTAGGGTTTGACCCACAGAACCTTTAGATTTTTCGTACTGGTTTAAACTAGCCACCGATTCATGAAATTCAAAAAATTTAAAAGTTGCATTATTTGATTGAAGATCGTCGAAATAAAATCTGGGGAGAACTTGGTACAAACTTAATTTCTGCTCAAAGAAGAATTCATTATTCAAAATTTGGTAATTACCAAGTCAAAGGTTTAAAAATGACCCCACCTTAGCAGTGGAGGGAATCCAAATGTTATTTTTTTTAAAGGCTGCAATTTAAGCGTCTTTTAATTATCGCTGTTTATGATTATGGTTGCGGAATCGAAAGTATTCGCTGACTCAATGTCACTGACGTAAGAATTCTGTTTTAAAAGGGAAACCCACGATAAGATCTAGGCCTATATTGCAATGTACGTTTTCTCTGATAAGAAATGTTGCATGCCTCCTGCTTCTACCAAATTTGACAGTTTCCTTGTCTTCCGGTTAACAAAGGTGGGGGTGAGTTTGTTTGTTTTTTTAAATATACATTTCAATACGTATCAACTAAATTAAGAAACTTTTCATGCCCCTCTCCCCCCCCCCCCCCCCACCCCACACAATTTTTCATGACCAAATCAGGTGACATGCCTGCATGCATAATTCATCGGAAATTCCTGCTCTAATGACAAAACCTTCCCCAAATGCTTACTGCCGACTGGCACGAGAGGCTAAAATTAACTAATCGAGTCGGGGGGCTACAGCCCGGTAGCTACTGGGTCGCCGCCTACCACCGCTAAACAAACTTACTATTTGGATTAGCGCCGCTCATTGCTTACACACGAACCCACACCGGTGTTGGCACATACCAATGTAAGAGGCCATGCTCTAAGGGACGCAAACGCCTGTCACTGTTGATCGATAAGTAGTACTTCTCCGGCACAACGATTCAAAAGACTAAGGCCGTTCTAAAGTGGGCATTGCAACCACTTCTTTTTTTTTTTTTTAAATAATAATCTTGAAAATCCATTGGTCTAGCTAGGGTTAACGGCGCCCAGGGCGGTGAAAGATTTTAACGCCCCCGCTCCATCGTTTTTTTCAGGGAAAAAAGTATGCAGTTGACCGAAATTGCCGCCACTCAATATATATATATTTATATATATGTATATGAATAAATATATATATATAAACTGGTACCCGGGTGTCCACACCTTTTCTTTTCTTCTTCTTATTATTAGTGGTCTTATACAGCGCGCCGTACTCCAGCCTAGGGCTGGTCTCACCGCGCTGTACCTAAAAAATATTAGCAAAAGAGACATCATCGTGGCATTAAAAATAATATACAATTACGTCATAAAGAACAGCTTTATAGCAACAAAACAAAAAAAAAAATGTATATTCACCCCACCCTTCGACACTGGAGCAGAATATTGGATCTATTATTAAACCTCATCTGCTTGATTTGTTATACTTTTTTTTTTCTTTTTTCCTGGCACCCGTCCGTCACAATGTGACGATGGTGAAGACTTTGCAGGGCGAAATCCACAAGGCCTGGGTATTCTTCCTCTAGGATAATAAGCTGATTCCCAACAGCAAATCGCCTCTCTCCACGCCGCTGGATAACCCAAATAAGCATCATGTGGATGATATAGCTTGGCACCAGTGGCGTCGCAGGAGTTGTTTCGGAATGTTTCATTGTACCAATCTTATCCTCCTACGGGGACTCCATCTCCGTGCGTTTGAATTCAGAGTTTGCCTCCTCTTAGATGAGTCGCCATCCAAGGTTAACGAGGCCTACCCACCCGTGGGGGGGGGGTGCTGGTGGTGTTTTGTCTTGACTGTCATACGTCAGGAAAGTGTATACAAATAACACGTATTTCCTCCCCAACAACGCATCGTTCCACAGCAGCCATTGAACAGTAGCAACGAGAACAGTTTGTTATTTCGTAACACGCTATAAGTTGGTTTTTTTCCTCTAGTGCCGAACAGATAAAAAAAGGGGGGTTGGGGGGGGGGGAATTACACGTTTTTCTGTTTAACTGTATTTATGGAATGAGTGTGTTCGTCGCTTCACGGTGCAAACGGCCCCCAGTGCACGAGGCGTGCTCAAACACAAGCCATACATTCTTGGAATGGTCAACCTGCTTTATGCGAGCGGTTAGAGCAATGAGACATTACCACCGGCAAAGTGATTCGCACTGGAGGTTGACTCCTACTTGAAATTAACCCTCTATAACGCGAATTCGGCTAAAACTCGGTGGCGCCATTTGGTATATTCATTAGCGGATCATTATTTTTTTTTTTTTCAAAATACGTGAAAAAGATTGTAAAAAATAATATATTATATTCTCGTACAACATGAAAAGAAATATTTGTTTAAAAAAAAAAAAACTAGTCCCACTGCAACACCACATAGCACACACTTACCTGAAGAATTTTTTTTTAAAAATCCGGTAAAAAAAAAAAACTAGTCCCACTGCAACACCACATAGCACACACTTACCTGAAAAATTTTTTTTTAAAAATCCGGTTTTTTAATGTTTAAAAAAAAAAAAAAGAAATCCCAAATTCGTACGGAATATTGTAAAACCCCGCTACAAAGCGACCCCGCAATTAACGCGAACTGATTTTATGGACACCCGCCCCGCCCCCACTTTTCCCCATTACTACGTTATAGCTGGGTTCCACTGTGTATAGCCGTGTTGCTTGGTTGTTAGGGGGGTAAGGTGAACATTTTATTTTCCATTTATTTTTCCCATAAAACATTTTTTTAAAATTTTGCCGATGAAGGTTTTTGGCCGATACATCACTTGTTCATTGAACCTTTACAAAAATACTTCAACATATCGTGCAGACTCACATAGGCCATGCGTATTTTCAGCTGATAGGAACCTCTTCCCCTCATAATATCCTTATTTATCTTTGCCGTTAAAATTGCATTTTTTAGTCGAAGGAGGCTTTTGACCGATACATTTTCTTGATCATTGCGCCTTTTTAAAAAAAAATGTTTTCACATGTCGTGTAGCCTCACGTACGCTTATCTTCAGCTTGAAAGCAGCCTCTTCGTCTCATATTCTCTTTAAAAGAAAGTTGTAAACAACCATCAGAAGAATTCCCAGGCATTGCAACTTCGGTTCCCATAAAAAAGTATTTTAAAACAAAAAAAACTAAAAAAAACCCAACAAAATCCCGTCACAGCAAATACACTGTAGACTGTATATTTATAAAGTTAAACAATAACTTTCCCCCAAGCATGTTCGGTCGTCCCACATTTCCAGCCCCCCCCCCCCACACACACACATTTTCAGCCCCCCCCCTCCCCACTCCATCAGACGGCGCCCCGCAAATTGACACTTGTCTTGCGTCAACATTAAATGGGACGAACTAAAAGCCTTGTGATGATGGCTCTAGGCAAGACGGGCCTCCATCTGAAACACATGATTAGCCTCACGCTTGGCTAGGTCTGCGCTTATCAGGACCACATGGGGGGACATCTAAAAGGTGCCCTTTTATACGGTGTGGTAACCGCCCGCCTTAGGACGAAAGGATCTCACATTTTTGTTTTTTCCCCCCTCCCCCCAGGAAAAGTGATTCTGGCACAAAGTGTGACATAGCCAAGTTTTCGAGCGAGGCTTACAGTTTTCCCCCTTTTGAAACGAGGAGGAACGCACTCATGTGGCTTGCACTTCTAGTGGCTTGCAATTCTTGTGGCTTGCACTTCTAGTGGCTTGCACTTCTTGTGGCTTGCATTTCTTGTGGCTTAAACTTCTAGTGGCTGCACTTCTTGTGGCTTGCACTTCTTGTGGCTTGCACTTCTTGTGGCTTGCACTTCTAGTGGCTTGCACTTCTTGTGGCTTGCATTTTTCTAGTGGCTTGCATTTTTCTAGTGGCTTGCATTTTTCTTGTGGCTTGCATTTTTCTTGTGGCTTGCATTTTCTTGTGGCTTGCATTTTTCTAGTGGCTTGCACTTCTTGTGGCTTGCGCTTCTAGTGGCTTGCACTTCTAGTGGCTTGCACTTCTTGTGGCTTGCGCTTCTTGCGGCTTGCGCTTCTTGCGGCTTGCGCTTCTTGCGGCTTGCACTTCTAGTGGCTTGTACTTCTAGTGGCTTGCGCTTCTAGTGGCTTGCGCTTCTAGTGGCTTGCACTTCTTGCGGCTTGCACTTCTAGTGGCTTGCACTTCTAGTGGCTTGCACTTATAGTGGCTTGCATTTCTAGTGGCTTGCACTTCTAGTGGCTTGCACTTCTTGTGGCTTGCACTTAAATATTTTTGGAGTTCACGGTGTACCGCTGATTCGCCGCCTTTGATTGGTGGTCCTAGCATTGCGTGTCTTTTCGAATAACAAGGTGTAACTTTAAAAAAAATTTTTAAACCAGATTGTTTGTGCAACAACTTAAAAGAGGTTTGGCGGGATATCAGTGTAAACAAGACTCGTCCGGCCCATGGCGCCATCTTGTGTCACAGCCGAAACAGAAAAAAAAAGTTTTCTTCCTATTTTAGTCTGGTGCTGACGTAGGTAAACACATCAGAAACGTTACGTAGTTCACGAATTCAATTATTTCATCGTTTGTCGTCGTTTTGATAAGCTCTACGTACCATCTACCCCCTAACCCCCCCCCCCCCCCCCCCCCCCCCCCCCCCCCCCCCCCCCCCCCCCCCCCCCCCCCAGGTTCAACCGCACTACATCGATCCAGCCAACCCAAAGTTAAGTTACAGCGGAAAATAACGCCTTCATTATTTATCTTGGATGGGTTGCCGGGGGGGGGGGAGGGGGGGGAGGAGATTGACATCTGGATAAGAGGATCATCACAGACGTGTGAACGGTTTTTTGTGTCAACAAGAGAACACGCGAATCAACACCGTGGAACGACCTAAGAGGGGCTAAGGCGTCCAACCATTTGGTGTACGAAAGATAGTGTCATATGGGTGGCAGATTGCGTGCCATTGTGTAACTGTTTAGCTATGGAGACAATGAATGGGTGAGTCTAAGGCCAAATGTGTACACATGTTTAGATATGGAGACAGTGAATGGGTGAGTCTAAGTGTGTACACTGTTTAGATATGGAGACAATGAATGGGTGTGTCTAAAACTAAGTGTGTACACTCAGTATACTGTTTATATATTGAGACCATGGTGGGTGAGTTTACGTGTAAATTGGCAGACATTGGGTTGGCAGAATTTCACTTAATCATACATTATATTAGGAATTCGTATATGTTAACAAAAGAAAAGTAGAACAACATATGTCTCCACTGGTCAAGTAAGCTGGTTATTGACAAGATTCACAGCTGCTGTGGATATCCCCCCCCCCCCACATCATCCATCCATCCATCCATCCATCTAAGCCTTGGTCTGCCTTTGAGCCGTTTTCCTCGTGGTTTCTTTTTTGTGGTGCTCCCTCTTCACCCCGTCTGTCATTTGACATTCTTTCTAAGTGTCCCACCCAGCGCAGACTGCATGCCCCAAACTCAAAGTAGACTGGCAATGCAATGAAGGTCACACCAGGGTGTTGGAGATTGATGTCTCGCGTCGAAGTTGTATTCAATAATTTTAGTTACCAAAATTGTAAAATATAAAATTTAAAAAAAAAAAATAATAAATTTTTTTTTTTTTAAATATGTATGTTGATTTGCAATTGTGGACTATTTATACTTCACCCTGGAGTCTGGAATGTTGTGGACTTAATCTTATACTTTTATCTTGGCAGTCCTAGTCCTAGTTCAAATGCAATCTTGAGTCCTTGATATTATATTCATGGGACAAAACTCATTAATGCTTACCTTATTCTTATGGTGGCCATGTCACCAACATTTTCCCTTAATTTTTTTTCTATTACTTCCCGCGTTTAAGTTTTTAGTTTTTCAAGTTCTTTTAGTTTTAAGCTTTAAGTTTTCAAGTTCTTTTAGTTTTAAGCTTTAAGTTTTCAAGTTCTTTTAGTTTTAAGCTTTAAGTTTTCAAGTTCTTTTAGTTTTAAGCTTTAAGTTTTCAAGTTCTTTTAGTTTTAAGCTTTAAGTTTTCAAGTTCTTTTAGTTTTAAGCTTTAAGTTTTCAAGTTCTTTTAGTTTTAAGCTTTAAGTTTTCAAGTTCTTTTAGTTTTAAGCTTTAAGTTTTCAAGTTCTTTTAGTTTTAAGCTTTAAGTTTTCAAGTTCTTTTAGTTTTAAGCTTTAAGTTTTCAAGTTCTTTTAGTTTTAAGCTTTAAGTTTTCAAGTTTTTTTAGTTTTAAGCTTTAAGTTTTCAAGTTTTTTAGTTTTAAGCTTTAAGTTTTCAAGTTTTTTTAGTTTTAAGCTTTAAGTTTTCAAGTTTTTTAGTTTTAAGCTTTAAGTTTTCAAGTTTTTTTAGTTTTAAGCTTTAAGTTTTCAAGTTTTTTAGTTTTAAGCTTTAAGTTTTCAAGTTTTTTTAGTTTTAAGCTTTAAGTTTTCAAGTTTTTTAGTTTTAAGCTTTAAGTTTTCAAGTTTTTTTAGTTTTAAGCTTTAAGTTTTCAAGTTTTTAAGCTTTCAAGTTTTTTTTAGTTTTAAGCTTTAAGTTTTCAAGTTCTTTTAGTTTTAAGCTTTAAGTTTTCAAGTTCTTTTAGTTTTAAGCTTTAAGTTTTCAAGTTTTTAAGTTTTCAAGTCTTCAAGTTTTAAGCTTTAAGTTTTATAAGTTTTAGGTTTTAAGTATTGAGTTTTTAAGTTTTAAGGACAGACGCCCTCAGATAAAAGCGACATCAAATTTATTTTCGTGTCTGTCGTCTTCACATCGCGGCCCTTATCAACATTGTCAGCGATATTTTCCTTATCAGCAGTAATTGTATCACAAATACACTATTACTGTCTGTGCACGCCTCCCAGGGTAACGATAGCATAGAGAAGCCGTGTGTGGGAGGGCTGTAGGACAAAAAATCATCTTCATAATAATAGATAGATCGCAATCAATAACGAAAGTAACCTTAAAGTTTCTAAATTATCTGCCTAGGAGCGCTCACCCACCCAGTGGCGCTCACCCACCCAGTGGCGCTCACCCACCCAGTGGCGTATCTAGGGCTAGCGCCGCACAGGGCGGGCCGAGATTTTGCCGTCACCCATCCACGAAAAAAAATAAATAAATTGTTCGTTTGCCGAAAATTCCAGCCCTTAGTGTAAAGAAAAAAAGTGCCATCCGGGGTGGATCACCTCCTCCACACAGCCCTTTCCGAAGCTACTGCACCCACCACTTGTTCTGAGATGTTACTGTTATGTCGGGGGGGGGGGGGGGGGGGGGGGGGGGGGGGCTGGGACTATATCTGGATTGGTGGGACAGTCAATAAATGAGTACATATATCGTAAAGTTAAATATTCGATATATATATATATATATATATATATATACACATACATATACATACATACATACATACATACATATATACATAGATATATACTGTGCTGGCCTTGCAGTTAGATTATAGCATAGGAAAAAAAAACTTAGAGATAGGCGCACGTGATCTACGATCTACCTTATACAGCAGTGGTTCTCAACCTTCCTAACGCCGCGGCCCTTTAATACAGTTCCTCATGTTGTGACGACCCACAACCATAAAATGTTCTTCTTTGCTACTTCGTAAGTATGTTTTCCGATGGTCTTAGGCGACCCCTGTGTAAGGCCGTTCGACCCCCTTCCCCCCCCCCCTCCCCAAGGGGTAGCGACCCACAGGTTGAGAACCGCTGGTCTACAGTAACGTTTCAGTACTTTCAAACCTAGTTCAAATTAAGCTGTCGTGCTAAAGTCAGAGCTGTATCGTGTCGTCCTGTTAAGGTCTCATGTCATGTCACTCGTTGTCACAGCGGTATCAGTCATGTTTCTGTCAAAGCCGCAATCACCATTTTCCTGTCACAGCTGTGTGTAGTAGTCACGGGTCATGACAAAGCTGCAGCGTGCAGTCCTGCATGCGTGTGTGTGTCTGTGTTGTCAATGTCCCGGTCCCAGTCAGGGTGACCTGCGGTACATGCTGGTGTCGGGTTTGATTTATACGATGGCGGGCCCTAGCCGTCAGTCCGGTCCCTGGTAGGGAACGGAGAATTAAACTATATGGTACTTAGGGTTAGCGATAGGGCGGTATTCAAGCAGTCGAGAACTGGAGGGTCGGTGCGCCAAGTCGCCGGTACGAAATGTGGGGAGAAATACTCAATGGCAGCAGACATGTAATGTAAGGAAAATATTTATGTCCTCGAGGGGGGTCGTAGATACAGAAAGTGAGGAAAATTTTAGGGGCAGGGTCGTAGGTCTAAACGCTGTAGTGGGTCAGCAGGGCGTGGTGGGTTTGAACCCCATTAGGAATTAATAGTAAAATACGACTTTAAGAATATGTATTATAAAATGATAGAGGAATAATAATAGAAATGAATGATAGCAGGTGACTGCTCGTAGTCTGATCCCACTTCTTAAATGGCGTTGGGGCAGGTGTTGACCATTTCCTTTGTATGTCATGGTTCTATTTTTAACCGACTCGCACAAGCGATGCTATTTGACTTGAACCTTAATTGTATTTAAAGTCGTGACCTGCGTCCATTTCCAGGAGAAAAGCAAATAATGGCCGGAGGGTGCTGTGTTTTGTTTCTTGTGGTAGAAATAGGACGTTAAGCCGTGACAGGGTGAATAACTGCATACTGATTGTTTTCTCGGTTATCGTTCATACAAAGAAAAGGAGAGAAGAAAAAAAAAAAGGAGGGGGGCTGTTAAGTGGAACTTGTGCACATCCTGTTAGTTCCCGAGCGACCAAAGGAACGGACGTCCAGATTGAGAGGCTGGTTGAGGGACGGGGGAGATGATGGGACGACTCCCGACTGTGGACTGTGAGGGACAGGTGCACCACAAGCACGGAGATCACATTCATATAATTCACAAATACAGGTGCAACCAAAATCATCTTGTCACCGGTTCACACTTTTTCTATAATGAGGGGCGACATTTTCAAGAGGCTTCGGCCCAGTCGCCACTTGGAAAAGCCCTGATCACAAGTCCTTCCCACATAAAAAAAAATGTATATTAAGAAATTATGCATGCTTTTCTTATATTTTAACCATACATATTAGTATTATATTATGCCGATAAATCCTATTAAAATAAAATTTTAAAACATTTTTAAAAGACTTTAAAGAAGTATAAAATAATAATGAAGGGAAGAAACACAAAAAAAAAAAAAAAAAAAAAAAAAAAAAAATTAAAAAAAAAAGAAAAAAAAAAAAAAAAAAAAAAAAAAAAAAAAAAAAAAACAAAAAAAAAAAAAAAAAAATAAAATAAAAATTTAAAAAAATTTAAAAAAAAATTAAAAAAAAAAAAAAAAAAAAAAAAAGGAAAAAAAAAAAAAAAAAAAAAAAAAAAAAAAAAAGAATGAATTTATAAGATATGTCTATAAATAAAAAAAAAAAATTAGAAAATAAGTCACGCCTCAAACAATTTAATTGATAGGGTAAAATTTTAGACTAAAAATAACTACAGTCCATGGAAGTTTTGTTTCAGTCACATAAAATAACACATTTTAGATGCCCTGGGTGTGGGAGTGGGGATCCAAATTTTGCCAGATTTTCACATGCCAGAGTGGAGAATAAAAAAAAAAAACTTGTTAAATAATGTCAGATTAATTATAATTTTTTTGTAATTTTAACTTATGAACTATAAATAACCTGCCCACCAGTGGCGGCAGAAATGCGTGAACTTTTCGATATCATCTACTAAAATTACTTTATGAAACATGAATTCATCCAACACATTTTATAGTAGCCTACTAACTGCTGGGAATTTTATTTTGTGAGCCTATTGAACAGAGTGTTATAGCCATACATACAAACATACATAGACAATTATTATTTCTGTTTTATTTAAAATTATAATTCCATTTCACAGCAAGTTTGGCATAGAAGAACCAGCTTCGAGTAGTGAATTTGAAAGAGAGCTGGCAGACGAAATAGCTCAGCAATTCAACAAGTACAAGTGAGTTGAAAGTACTTACTTTTTAGACATTGTTTTTTATTATTTACTTTGCACTAAAAAAAAAATATACATCTGAATGGACAGTGGTAAATGACAATGTCCCACTGGAGACTAAACTACAATGACTACAGTTACAGACACTGTTCAATCAATGGCAGAACTTAAATTAATAAAATATATTATATAATATAGTTTTTTGGGTACAATACTTAATACTTTGGAGCTTGAGCTTGTTAACGCTAAGGTGGGACTGGTAGTCAAAATGCTAAAAGATAAAATTCATAACTAAGTAAGAACTCATCTGAATCAGACCGTTAAAGCAAAAGAAAAAAAAAAGAAGAAAAAAAAACAAAAAAAACACACAACAAAAAAAAACAAAAACAAATGGGACAAATTAAATATTTTTAAACATGTTTAGAGTAATGACAAGATACAGTAAAATTGTACTTTTTAAAATTCATAATGTTAAATTTGGTATCCCAAGAACATTATCATTGACATTTGCTTAAGGAAAATTGAGGGTTATCTGAAATTGAAGTTCCATGCACATTAACGTAAATTTAAATGTTTCAGATTTGATAGCGTTGATGTGGTAGAATATGACATTGTCATCACATCAGCTGACCCTCAGCGCCCAAACCGCCTGGAAGTGTTGTATCATAATGGCACTCAAAAGCAGAGCATTGCACTTACTGCCAGGAATACAAATTCTAATAACAGAACTAGGAATGGTAGATCAGATCCCTCTGAGTGGACGCATCCATTTGTGGCATTTTCTCCATCAGGACAAGTTGAAGTAAGCTTGTTTTTTGTTCAGGATTGATAAATCCTTTTGGTCAGGCATTACCTAACCTGCAAAATGTCCTAATTAACAATCAATGTAAAAAAAAAAAAATTATAGAGTAAGCCGTTTGCTTTGGCTCTTGTATAATTATGGGAACACCAAAATGGTTAATTGTGGTTTAAGTTATAAAAAAGGAAATTTTTATCGGAGGGGATGGGCGGGAGACATGCAGGCTGTGAAGTTTTATCTGCTAATTATATTACTTTATTGTATTGCAATGAAATAAAATTTAATGGTAATTTATTTAAAACTTACTGTGATTTATTCTAATACCGTCACAGAAGATTTAAAGGAATTAAAATGCTTTAATTTGTAGTATATAATAAATGTTCATATTATTTTGTTCTAAGGGGCATCTTGTTTATGGGCACTATGGTCAAGTGACGGATTTCCAGGTTTTACAAGCTTCTAATGTGGAAGTTAAAGGAAAGATAGTTTTGCTCAGGCTGGGGAAAATACCTGTTGCCAATAAGGTATGTTATTGAGTTTAATACTATAATTAGATTTATTTGAACTGATAACATATTTAAAATATAATTTTATTAACACAAACAAAATATTTTAACCTTGTATCTGATACTTTATTTATTAAAATTTAAAAATAAAAAAAGCAAAAGCAAAAGTGGGCCCTTAATATATAGAAGAAGAAGAAGCCTCAAACTTCTCTCATCGACTGCTGATGCCGCCCTTTTACGTTAACGTAGCGTTTAACTATATTTTTACTTTCAATTTTACATTTAACTATTTAACACATTTTTTTTATTGTAAAAAATGTGGGTAATGCGGACAGAGCTATGTCAAACAGGACATACATTTTTATTAATCAAGGTGAAATGTGTGATGCCCCATGGAGTAAAATGTGGAAATGATTGGGACACGATAAATGGCATGGTGTGAAATGACAAAAAAGGATCTAAAAATGAAAGATATAAAAATTCTACAAGATGATGGCTTTCTCCCATCTGACTTTTCCAATACTTTATTTAATTGAATTATTTTCATGCCTAAAGAAATCTTAGTTTTCTGGTTTAAGTTTAATTAATTTATGTTGTTCTTTTCTTGGAGGAAGGGTAGGCCTATTGAATATCCAAAATATTATTACCTTTAAAAAATTTTTAATTGATTTAAAAATTGTTGCATAAATTTACAAGCTTTTCTTCAACTAGATCAAGAATGTTGAAGCACATGGTGGTAAAGGTGTACTGCTTTACTGGGAACCTTGGGATGCTGAAAATTCTTTGATTGATGGTTACAGTCGGAGTTATATCCCTTATGCATCTGCAGCTATGTTCTCAACTGGTATGGTTTTTGAGTTGTCTGTGTTATATCCAACCTTTGGAAATTATTTTGTCAATTTTTTCCAGTGTGCTAAGTTATTTCTTTTTTTGGTAGATTGGTCATCTTCATAATTTATAAATATTATGAATCCAAACTGATGTACAGGATTTAATTTATGTCTTAAAAACAGAAAAAACTAATTTTCCGCATCAGGAATCAATTTGTGTAATATTGCATCCATGATTTAAAGGGTTTGAATGGTGGAAGAGATTGGGATGTAAGAAAGATGTAATTTTTTTTTAGAGATTTAGAAAGAAAGAGAAACTGCTCAGCTTCAAAATATATGGTTTTAAACTATAAAATGGTTAATGCCGAATAATTTTTATTGTGTATACATTTTAAAATTATTCAAATAAAACGGAGAGGCTAAAAACAGTTAATCCTCAAAATAAATTTGATACAGAAAACACTAAGCAAATTATAACGGAAGAATTCTGCACCATAAATTTACATGGCTGTTCTATTTCAGATCTAAGAATTACAAAGTTTGTCAAACCCCTGACAGTGTGTATTTCATGTAATCACAATGCTTGTGCATGTCACATTGGTAGAAAAACCCTGTAGTATCAGAAAAATTTTGAGGTCATCAAAATCTTAACTTAACAACCGAAAATGTTTTCAATTTTTAAATATGATTTTTTTTTAAGATTGCAGGCTGCCATTTAAAATGTTTGCTTTTGTTGTTAATTCCTAGAACTGCCCTTGTATTGGACTCCCTCCATTGTTTGTCAGACAGTGTCAGCTGATCATGCACGGATGTTGTTTTCCCTGCTGGCATCAGATGTTAAGAGAGTTGAAGCACCAAGTCACTGGAGTGGCTCAGTAGCCAAATCTTATTATCTAGGTGCACCCACAGTGGAGAATACTAACAGTAAGGAGACAGTAATTGTTATTCAAAGATTAAAATTGCATCTTGCTATGAAAAGAAAGGTTGTTCTAGAGAGAACATCAAAAATGCTGTTTTCTTGTATAAAAAAAATATAAAAATTAGCTAAGATAAAATCAATTATAAATAAAGGCTGTTTCTGGCAAAACTTAGTAAAAATAAGTTTAAAATAATCACAATTTACATAAATAAAACAATGTTGTTTTTTTTTAAATATTTTCATAAAAATTATAATTAACTTTGAAATTATATTTAATACTTAATTAAAATCTTTATGGGGATATTTCAATAATCCAATGATATGTCTTATAGCTTCTTCTTCAGTGTCAAACATTCGTGTTTCTGTGTTCAACATCCCAAGCAGTAAAAAAATAAAGAATATAATAAGTACAATACAAGGCAGAGATGAGCCAGGTGAGGACACTCTTTATAACTTAGAAGCACTGTTTACTCCTTGATTTACAATGAATTAATACATGGGTTTAGGTAAGAATTATAATTTCTGATTTACCTACTTATTATTATTTTGGAATGTTTTTGTTTTTTCTCTCCTGGGATTGCCCACCAGCAGCTTTAGGGCCGTTGTTGAACCCTGGGGTGGTAAGGAGGACTGGGGATACCATAGGTGTCTAGTTAGGTGAAATTTATTTGTGCATCTACCCCAACTGCTTAGGAATCTGTAGCATAGTAGGTTGATTACCAAGTGCTGAGTAAACTATGAAATAGTAGGGTGATTGCCAAGTGCTTAGGAAACTATGAAATAATTAAGTGATTGCCAAGTTCTGAGTAAACTGTGACACAGTAGGGTGAATGCCAAGTGCTTAGTAAACTATGGCACAGTAGGGTGATTACCAAGTGCTGAGTAAACTATGAAATAGTAGGATGATTACCAAGGGCTGAGTCAACTGTGACACAGTATGGTGATTGCCAAATGCTGAGTCTGTTGTTTGGTGTGTGCTTCTCTACAGTACATCTGTTATGTACCGTTATACGGTTATTTATAAGTTTTATCAGTTTTAAGATTTATCTTTTTTGTTGATCTGTAAATTTTATGTTTTAAGATTTAGCTTTTTTGTTGAACAATACGTAACAAAGGACTGAAAACCAGCATACAAAGAAAAACTATACCAAAGCTAGTGACATTAACAATATTCAATTTAATATACTATTAATTTTAAATGAAAAACAAAATTAAATATACAGAAATAAAAACTATATTAACATACAGCATGGCAAGTGAAAAAGTATAATCCTCAAAAGATACAAATATTATTATATACACACACAAAGAGTAAAATCTTTGTAAGGCTCCTATTAATATATTATGTCTCACAAATGTCTAGGAAAATTTGCAAAAATATCTCTTGGCTGGGAAAACGCTGGCTCATTTATAGGGGGGGGGCTCAAAACCCCCCCCCCCCCCCCCCCCAAAAAAAAAAGGAATTCTAGAAATTGAATCACCGGATAGCATTCTTTAGAACATAATATAATGTATTCTATTGTAAACAACTTTTTCCAAATAAGGTGTGGGCAATTTGTACAGCACTGCACATTTAATCAGTGACGTCAATATCTAAACAAAGTGGGGGTGGGTGGTAAGGTTGAATGCCATTGGCTTGTGAAAAAAAACAACTAAGTCAACACACATGCTATAACAACATCCCTTTAGAAAAGAAAGTGAGTCATTATGTTTATTAAGAGCTTCGATGCTTGTACTACAGTTTTCCTTTGGTAGATATATAGAATAATGGCTTTGAATTACTGACAAGCCATAATTATTCTAAATTGATTATTAAATGTAAAAAAAACAAAGAAACAGAGAAAAATCACAAAAAATTACTGAATTCAAATATTAAAATAACTTAACTTGACAAGTGCATTGTTCATTTTAATGGGCGTGATACCTAAAGATGTAAAAAAAAATTAAAAGTTATGTTAATACAAGTTTAGGATATTTCAGCTTTTTATACTATCAAGGGGTGTTAAAATACAAGAAAAAGAAAATTAAATTAATGAATAAAGACTGAATTTTGATGGTAGGAAACATAATTTTGACCTTATGAACATAGCCTTTAAGATAATTGCTTCTATTGGTAGATCGTTATATTATTGTGGGTGCACCACGTGCGGCACTCCCTGGCCAGCCACAAGATGTTGTGGCAAGCTCTTCTCTTCTTATACAACTGGCCAACAGTTTTCATCATGTTCACGCTCGCCATCAGTGGAGGCCCAGTAGAGGTGTCAAACTCATTTCTTGGGGAGGTTCTGAGTTCTCGAACATGGGCCTCATCCAATACTTAAAGGTTCGTAGAGAAAAAAACCCTTAAATTTTCATCATTTCAGTTACTTGTATTTTCTCAAATACAATGTTAGCCCTACTTAGGTCAGAATGTTGGGCAGAGTCTGTAAAACTAAAATGCTGCAGTATATCAAAAACAACTAGTATTGCCAGAAAACCAAAAGTAGATAATTATTTTTCTTGTTTAAATACTATTGAAATATTAGAGAGTAAAATTCTTTATTATTTAGTTTATCTGTATGTTTTTTTTTTGTGTGCGAGTTTATCTGTATTCTTCTTTTGGACAAAAAAAAATAACAGGAAAGAAAATATTTTGAGAACTTACGTAATCCAATGAATTGAAAGATAAGAAAGTTTGTCATGAAGATATTTAGAGATACAAGATAATTCTCCAGCTTATAGTTTTAGAACAGTGCAAAAAAAAAACTTTACAAAGTTAAATGTTTTGTTCCTAGATCACATCTCTCTTTACTATCATTAAATTGGATTAGACATTTGGGTCTCGGGTGGCAAATTATTAATTAAAATAAAAAAATAGAATTGTACTTATTTTTCACATCCTATTTTTCAGAGCCACCTTTTCCATGTTGAGAAAAAAGCTGTGGCTTACTTCGATTTGTCTCAGTTGACAGTTGGAGATAACTTCATAGAGTCCCAGGCACCACCAGGACTTAGTCATCTGATCACAAGTGACATGAATAGTGTAAGTTTTCTTGTGAGAACCTTTGTTTGAGAGATAACTCTTGAATGCTACTGGTGGAACATGAAATGCATTCAGATTTAATGCTCAAAGATCATACATGATATACAAGATGTGGTTGGGTTTGAATCAAAACAAATTTAATACCTTATACATAATGACAAAGGTTTTGAAATGAAATCTCTTTTTTGACAGTCATGTTAAAGTCACTGGCAATAATTTGTGTAGCACTCTTTTTTCAATAATATTTGCCCTATATTTCAATACTGAATCCAAAAGCAACAAGCTATTTCCACATTGCTTGTAACTGAAGAGCTGTGATGCTTATAAATTAAGTATCACATTTTTCTACATTGGTCTTACAAATGTATGGGAATGTGCAATTTATCAAACTACATAACAATCCCCTTAACACCAAGGCTACAAACATTGTGAAGATTAGTACATTTATGGCATACATCATTTCTATTCTTAAAGGCATAAAAATGGTGAATTATATATAAATATCGTCATAAGGATTCCAAAGGCTGCATATTTCTTTGTCCTTAAGAAAAAGTATTAAGTTAAAACGTGAATTGTATTACACTTTTATTGGCAGGTGCCTGACCCAAAGACAGGGGAGTTTTTTAATGTGGTCAGTGCTGACAACAGCAATGGGGCTGATCCTTACAATGGGGATAACTGTGAAAGTGCTCGCCATCTTTTGCTGCACACAGTGGGTTTACAGACTGTAAAAGTTCAGTACAAATCTGTAAGTTTTGTTTCTTTGAAGATTGTCTCTGTCTGAGTGTTAACAGATGATTTTTTTTTTATCAAACACCGAGTTAGCTGTCCTTGTCTTTAATGATTTAGATTTTTTTATGTAGGATGTAAATCCTTGCCATTTATACAAGCATCCTTTTAAAGAAAGGAAAACTTATCAACAAAAATTGATGTCGAGGTATGACTGGTTTGAATTGGTTAAAATGAAGGGAGGGCTTATGTTAAACTATTTTGGTTGTCAAAAGAGCAAAGAAATTGAGAATATTTCTTTTCTTGTGCATGCTTGTAGGCTCCTGGTGTCCAAAATTCAGTACTGAGAATGTTAAAAGAGGATCAAAGTCATCACTTCAAGTATCACAAAACAGTTGCACATGTCCTTGTGAAAGTTCTGCTGGACATGATAGACGGCCATGCTTTACCGATCAACATCCTCAGAGCTGCACATCACATTCATGAAGTTGTTCTCAACACTTCAGAAGTCATAGATGATTGCTCTGACAGTGAAGAGGAATTTGGTGAGGGGTTTTATTTTTAAATTTTTTTATGTTTGGAATACAAAAGTTTTATTTTATGTTGCATTCAAGTTGGCAATGCATACTTGCAACTTTTTTAAAATGAATGAATTCTTTTTTGGTGGATAGGAACAAATCAAAAGTATTTTTTCCAGCACTATTGAAATACTTTTGATTTGTTCATCTTTTTTGTACTGTGACAGCCTGTCACAGCAGAGTAGGTCACATTTATGATCTCAAGTGATGCAATTAAAAGCAGCATAGACAAGAAATGTGTCCGTATGTTAGCTGTTTTGATTGGTGGGTAGTGCAGGGGCATTATTGCCTGAATGGGTGTGGCATGGTATACAGCCCTATCTTGTTGGAAGGCATTACACTTGCTTTAACTCTGTTATGATAACCATCATCTTAGAACAAATTTGTTTGATGTTCATTAATTTGTAACTAAAACTTTAAAAGTTGTTGACAATTTACAATCCAAACATTTATAAAATTAAACTAATTTTTTTTAATGTTCTCATTACCAGCCCATGCCCTGGAGCTAAGCGAAGACCTGATCAAAGCTGCTGAGATATTCCATGAAATTGAACACCTCATGATAGAAAAAATGGACAGTGTCAAAGTACGGATCATGAACGATGCCAAAATGCATTTTGACCGTTTGTTTATTGTACAAGAAAATGGGTAAGACCTTTACATTAACTTACAATGCATTATTAAATTTTTACATTTTTTTTTAACCTTAAGTAAAAATATCTTTTGAATGAACTATTTACTTTTCAATTAATGGTATATTTTTCTATCTTCAGTTTGTATTAAAATGATTAATGTACCTCCAAAATTTGTTAATACTTGTATCAATCATTTTTAAAAATTTTGTTTGAAGTCTTCTTATAAAGAAATTATTTAATTGAATCCTTAAAGGAATTCAGTAACTCACAACTAGGAAGACTTAAATTTACTAATGATACATCTTGTTTAGACCTACCTTTAAATTAAAAAAAAAAAATGGAATTGATCCTACCATAAGGCAGTAAGCGGCCATTCAAGTTATTGAATACTTTGTGGATAGCTAAAATTTCAACTTTTCCCCACAGTCCATAGATAACTTTGAAAAGGAGCTCTTTGATATTTAATCTTGGATTATTTAATGAGATCTCTTTATGCAAAAAACATTTCCTGAGGCATTTGATAATAACATTTTTTGTTAAACCAAAATGTAACATATTAGATGCATGTATTTTTTTTTTTTTTACAGATTTCTCCAAAACATCTTGTACCCAACACAACAAGATGGCAGCATTGCCGTGGCAACAGAGCTGTGTGCCTTAGGGGAAGCCACTGAAATTTGGAATGCCACAGCCAGTTTTGAAGAGAAGTTGTCAGAGGCTCTTAGGAAAGTTTTGTCATCCTTAAACATCAGTGCTTAGTTTTTTTATTGCTATTAATTTAAAACATCTAAACTTTAAGTATGCTCACAAATGCATTTTAAAATGTATATCTTTTTTGTTATTATTTTTGCCAAAGAAAATAATTTTTGATGAATTTTTTTATCAAACCAAATGTCACTCAAAAAACGATAACCCACAATGGCTTTCGAATTAAGAAATCTTTTGAATGTTGAAAAAGTTGTATTATGTTCTAAATGTAACAGCTTAAGTTTAATATGCTTTGTATGAATGAAAGAAAATTTTGCAGTGTTTTAATTAAATAATTATAAATAAAAGTAGGCTTATATTAAAATAATAATATTTATAGTGTTACTGCAGCATAATAAATACTTCTTTCCCTAACCACTGTAACCTAATGTTGCTGAATACATATGCTTGTTGTTACCAAGGAAAATTATGCCATTATTTTATTCAGTTTAAACCGAGCTGAACCAGAAATATATAAAATCCAAACTTGGAATTCATTTTTGAGGGATAATTTTTGTCTTTAAGGTGAAATTTGTAGGTATAAAAATTAGACCATTCTGATTTTTTTTTTTTTTTTTGGTCTCCATTTTCATATCACTTTGTTTGTCTATAAAGATTTAAATATCTAACTTTTCTTTATTCATTTTTGAGGGATAATTTTTGTCTTTAAGGTGAAATTTGTAGGTATAAAAATTAGACCATTCTGATTTTTTTTTTTTTTGGGCTCCATTTTCATATCACTTTGTTTGTCTATAAAGATATAAATATCTAACTTTTCTTATGCACAATCAAAATCTTACCATATACATGGAATTTAATATTCAGGATCTGAATTTCATATTAAACTGAAAGTTTGCTGTAGCATCTTTATCTCATTCAAAAGTACAGCCCTTGACATTTTTAGGCACATATTAATTTTTTTGTAACTTTATGTCTATTTATATTTATGAATGCCAAGAAAGTGTACTTATTTATATTATTTTGTCATTATTTATTTGAAATTTTGAAGACATTGTGTCACTCAGGGATTGGTCACATTTGTTGTATATATTTGTATAAAGACCCAAATAGTTAGACCCGAATATAGTTTCTAGCTTTTTTGACTTAAGAGTTTTTATCCCCATTAAGCAAAACCTTTTAAAAATGAACAGTAATAAAGATTGTATGGTATGGACAGAAGATTTAATAGTTTAAAAGAGAATTGGCTATAATTGTTAAAAATGTCAATACAAAGTCATGAGGCAATAATAAAAAAAATTGTGTACATTTTATTAATCAAGAGTAATAAAAATTTACCACACCTACTGCTTTAGTAGAATGTAATATTTCTTTAGTTTTTGTTTATGCAGCTCTGAACACTTACAATATATGACTTTTGTACTTTTTCAAAGTGTTTATTTTCCCATGTTTTTCTGTTTAACAAAACAAAAGTGCCTATTTTTCCCTTCATACTGTCTCAAATGATTGCATTACCATAGTCAAGTTGGGGTCACATTAAAAGGACTATTAAAGTGACTGCCAAAACTTGTGTAGTATAATTTAACATTAATCATTAGAAATGGAGATACATTTTTAAAATAATAAAATAAAGATTTTACAATTTTTTTCCTTCATCTTCCAATTTTCTTGTACGGTATTAAATATCATGGTCTTAATATGAATAATTTTTTTGTGTGTAAAAATATTAGGACAATTGATGCATTTTTGTCGCCTACATCAATTACCTGCTGTTATTGTAACTGCCTTGGGTGTAACAAATGAATACATTGTTGAATGTTGTGTCACGACTCCAGAGATAAAAGATACTTTATTAAATGACTGCCGATGAACACTCCTACCAGGGAGTACATGCTGTTTCATACTTACATCAATTAAGTCAGATGTTTCCAATATTTTATCCCATGTTGATCACATTTTTACATGCCAACATTCTATTCTTGTGTTGTTTTCAAACTATAGCAACAAAATGCATTACTTACTGAAATTGACCTTTAAGATGTATGTTGCCTCAGATTTCATTGGTGCTAACTGATCTTTGTCCTGGTAGTAGGGAGTGGGGGGGGGGGGGGGGGGGGGGGGGGTATAAAAATTGTATGTGGTGAACTTAAGGATTATTTCAATATGATACCCTCTACCCTTCTTTGTGCCATCAAAATGAAATAAAATTGTATAAATGTCATGATCATTTCATAGAGACTAATAATTTTCATAGCATTTCACTTTTTTTATTGGACCATTGAATGAGGTATGTAACATTTTGCTGCAAAGATGAAATTGGATAAAAGTGAATGTTAAAATTCTAATTTTTTTCTTACTTTTTTCAACTTATTAGTAGACTATATTTGTTGGTAAAAACAACAGTAAAAAAAACAACAAATAATTATATAGTTCAAGTACATTTCATAATAAATATTTTAATGCTTTAAGCTAAATCATTAATAAATAACATAGTTACCTATAAAACAATAAAGAAAATAAAAATGTACTAAGACTAAGACAATTTGTTAATGTTCTCCAGTTTGATGTTAAACAAAGCCCCCACTTAGAACCATTGGAAATGGAATAGTTTTTACTTTTTTCTACTTTACGAGCTGAGTCACAATTGCTATGAGACGTGACATAACCTTCATGGTCTGACATGGCAAAAGCTCATCTCCTGCCTCCCGTCAGCACACTGCGGCAGATCAGGTTGTTGTTGATTTTCAGGGCAACAGCCTAACAATGAACCAGATGTCATCTATGTGTACATATGTGTGTCTACATTATGTGTACATTTAGGAATATTCATGTAATGAACTGTTAGACTTGCTTTTGTATGTTGTATCATTATTGCATTTGCGATTCATAATGTGACGAGTAACAAAAAGTGCTTGCTTATCTTATGTTGTGTGAAGATCACCGAAAAGATATATTGTTGTGTGTGTGTGTATAATGTCCACTTTTCATTTCGCCATTTTTAGAATGTCCACTTCTCATTTTACCATATGTAGAATTTCCACTTCTCATTTCACCATATGTAGAATTTCCACTTCTCATTTCACCATTTGCAGAAAAGAGGATCCACTGAAATAAGTGGAGTTAACATAACTGTGGGTGTGTTTTTACCCTGCATAACATAGGTTCACAAAACATCGGTTTATTAGCCCTAAAGAGTTTTCTAGGGAAGGGGGAAAAAAAATGATAATGCACATTGAAACATTTCTTATATTATGTTCTGTTTAAATAAATACTTAATAAGAACCAAAGACAAGGCCACACCTTGAATCTGCAGTATTTTAACATTATGATCCTTCAAAGTAAAAAAAAAAAATATACAAAAATTATCTTTAAAAAAAAAAAATGCAACAGGTTAACTAAGTGGGTTTTTCTTTTCACACTGTTAATTCTTGGAAAATTTGAAATTCACAAGTGTACTATATTTACTGGAGAAAAAAATCACCCAGTTTTTAGTGTGCTTTTTTTTCACATTTATTATTATTTGTATTATTTTTTCACCATAAAACAAAATTAATCAAACATAACTTTTCTATCATTTAAAAAAAAAAAGAAATTCATGAACCACAATTCTGAACTAGGATCAAACTAAGGGCATTTAATTTACCTAAATAATGATACTTAGCATGTATTGTAGTTACAATAAATGTATGCTCTGGGCTTAACTCACAAATATAGTTTATGTATTTTAGGTATCATGAGGATAAGGACAACAAATATTAGAATTCAATTTTATTATTATTATAATTGTTATAAATGAAAATTGGTGTTTTATTTTGATTAATAAAAGCATTGAACGCCTGCATTGCTTATGAGGCATCTTTATGAATGTAGGCTATTTGGATATAAGCCGTGTGGGTGTCGGCTGTGTGGATATGAGCTATGTGGATGTGTGTGTATAGGTTAGCTGTGTGGAGGCTAGCTATGTGGAGGATTTTAGTGTGGAGAATTGTTGTGTGGAGGCTTGCTGTGTAGATGTTAGCTTCGTGGATGTTGGTTCTGTGATGGCTAGTTGTGTGGAGATGAGCTGTGCAGATGTTAGCTTCGTGGATGTTGGTTCTGTGATGGCTAGTTGTGCGGAGATGAGCTGTGCAGATGTTAGCTTCGTGGATGGTAGCTTCATGAATGTTACCTAAGGGGATGTTAGGGTTAGTGGAGGTTAGCCGTGTGGATGTTAGCTATTTGGACGCAAACTTATTGCTATAAGATGTGGAAATGTAATCTTCTTGTATTCTTCAAAGCCTTGTAATATAAAATAAAATGATAACCTTGCAGAAATAAAAAAAAAATTCTGTTGTTTTTGTCTTGAGCCATGTTTGGTAGTCAACTGGTGCATAAGTCTAAGGGGGCTGGGCTACCTTTATGAGCCATGTTTGGTAGTCAACTGGTGCATAAGTCTAAGGGGGCTGGGCTACCTTTATGAGCCATGTTTGGGAGTCAACTGGTGCATAAGTCTAAGGGGGGTGGGCTACCTTTATGAGCCATGTTTGGGGAGTCAACTGGTGCATAAGTCTAAGGGGGCTGGGCTACCTTTATGAGCCATGTTTGGGAGTCAACTGGTGCATAAGTCTAAGGGGGCTGGGCTACCTTTATGAGCCAGCCATGTTTGGGAGTCAACTGATGCATAAGTCTAAGGGGGCTTGGCTACCTTTATGAGCCATGTTTGGGAGTCAACTGATGCATAAGTGTAGGGTGGGCTACCTTTATGAGCCATGTTTGGTAGTCAACTGGTGCATAAGTCTAAGGGGGCTGGGCTACCTTTAAGACCCATGTTTGGGAGTCAACTGATACATAAGTCTGGGTGGGCTACCTTTATGAGCCATGTTTGGGAGTCAACTGATGCATAAGTCTAGGGTGGGCAACCTTTATGAGCCATGTTTGGGAGTCAACTGATGCATAAGTCTAGGGTGGGCTACCTTTATGAGCCATGTTTGGGAGTCAACTGATGCATAAGTCTAGTGGTAGGCTACCTTTATGACCCATGTTTGGGAGTCAACTGATGCATAAGTCTAGGCTGGGCTACCTTTATGAGCCATGTTTGGGAGTCAACTGATGTATAAGTCTAGGGTGGGCTACCTTTATGAGCCATTTTTGGGATTCAACTGGTCAATGAAGAGTGGGGCTCGAGATTTGACAAACATGTATACAAGTAACAAAATTTATAAGAATACCAATTAGTCATCCCCCCTTTCTTCCCCCCCCCCTCCCCCATTGCAATCTCATTTTTTTCCAAGCCCCTGAACTATAATAATATTATAATGACACCCCCCTCCATGCGCTTTCACATCGCAGATGTATTTCACAAACACATTTCAATTAAATAAATATATATATATATATTACACACCAAACGCACTTGCCACAGTTATTTTTAAAAATAATCTCATTGAGCGCAGTTATCGGGACTTAAATTTCGTGAGATCGGTGTCATCAAATTTCCTTCATCTTGCCCTTGACAGACATGAAAAACTGATTTTGGTGGGAGGGGGGTCGGAGGGTGGGGGCTGAAAGTTTGAAAGAATGTGTTGTCATGGGCAACGAGTGTCCGTGCCAAGTTTTAGGTCGATGGGAAGTGGGTCAATGAGCCGTCCACAGATTTTGCCTGCTCAAACAAAAGCGAAGTTGATATAAAGAATTTTAAAAAAAAACGTAAGTCAAGAGTGGGATACTCAACTGTAATAATTTGGTACACTAGATCATGTGCGCCCGCAGGTAGGGGCAAGGTGGGGCACTCCCCCCCCCCCCCAGATTGATTGGA